CGCTGATCGCGGCTTTTTTTTTTTCCTTTTTCCAATTGCTTCCGCCGATCGCGGCTTTTTTTTTTTCCTTTTTCCAATTGCTTCCGCCGATCGCGGCTTTTTTTCTTTTTCTTTTTTTTTTGCGTGGGGCGGCAGAAATGCTAGAGCCAGCCCTGCTCAGGAGATCATCTAGTCTAACCCCTGCTCAAAGCAGGGCCAATAATCCCTAGACAGATTTTTTTGCCCCAGATCCCTAAGTGGCCCCCTCAAGGATTGAGCTCACAACCCTGGGTTTAGCAGGCCAATGCTCAAACCACTGAGCTATCCAATGCATATAAGAAATGTTGTTGTTTTTTTTTATTCTTCAGTGAAATAACCTTTGTACATAGTCTAAAACATTATTTCTAAAAAGTTGTGCCTTATATGTCTAGATTGTAAGCTATTTGGGCCAGACACACTTTTTTTTTTATTAAGTGTACAATGCCAAACACGATGGAGCCCAAATCCCTAATCTAAATAGAGAACAATAATTGAACCATAAGGGTTCCAGTCTCAAAAAGAGTCTGTATTATTTCGGCCGGGTTTTAAAACCACGTTTCGAACACTACACAATTGCATGGTGCGTAAATAGCTTTCACGTTCCTGGGCATACTGAGTGATTTCTGGATCTATCCACAGCCTGCGGCTTTCATGTAGAAACTAATTTTACTTCTATGGAATCAATGAAATGTTACAGTAATAAGCACAGCACTGTACACTTATAATCTGAGGATCGCAAGGAGTTTTGCAAGCAGTTAATTAGAGCCTCACAACAGCTCGCTGTGTCTCCAAGGCTACCCGCTCTGAGAACACCAAGTTGTTCTCCGTAGAAGGAAATGGAGTAAGTCTGCCCACAGCTGTTAAGGCTGCATATGGTAACATTGGCTGTGAGATGCACTGGCTGAAATCACTGTCCTGATTCATTTTTAATATAGCAAAACGTGGCAGCAGCATCACTTGCTTTCCGCCGTGTGTGGATTATGTCAAACCTCGGCCTGGTGGAGAAAAATAATTTTGTAACTTGGCCTAATCGTAAGTTCAACCGCTAGTGTTTGTAAAGTAAAAGCTCTTGGCTAGCCTAGCTCACAAGGCCTGGGTACTAGTGGGTCTGGACCGGGCACATGGTTTCTCTGCTCTAGCAGGGTTGTTTCAATGTTCCCTTAACGATGTGGACAGAAGCTGTCAATTCCACACAAATGATCTGCTGGGTTTCATCCATCAGGCTGCTCTCTTGACCATAGTAACGTTGCTCACGAGCCCAGCGTGAACAAGGCTGGTAGGTGCTTTCTCAGAGCCCAGTTTGCCATGAGTGCAGCTGTGAGAGGTCTAGGGCGCCGGAGACGGAATGTGCGCCTGGGTTCACACTGCAGCTAACCTGCCTCCTGTTTTAAGTGGAGCAGCGTTTGCTTAATGGTGTAACAGTCCAAACTGGTTGCTGTGGGTGGTTTAATTTTAAGCCAGCTGCTTTGCCTTTATGCTGTCTGGTTTCCAGATGGCTGTGACACCAACATACTAGACATGTGTCCTCTCCAGATGGGGTGACGTCTCCATGTTGTGGTATCTGAGCTCCTACGAGAGGAAATAGTTGTGCTGCTGGAAACCGGTCCGTTTCTCCCCACCCGCCAACCTTTCAGATAACCGCTTATCTGCTGGCCATTGAACCATCAAGATGTTACCTTAAAGGTTTAAGTAATGAATGGAAGGGGTGTAGAGGTATCCCCTGCAATGAGGGAGTATTTCCCATAGCGGGGAAGCAGAGTTAATCTTAAATTCCGGTTTGTCCTAGTTCCTTTGTGGCTGGTTCCTGACCACATTCTGTCTAGAGAAGCTTTAGGGAAGTGGGTCATGGCAGGAGCTCAAGGAGGAAATTGAGGCAGAAAGCAGTCTTGAGACATCGAGGGGAAGGGGAGGAAGCCTTGTTGTCTAATGGGAAAGTGGGGAAGGGCTCGGATTGCTTCAGAGAAGGTCAGCAGCTGGGAGTGAGGAAGGATGATTTTGTGGTTAAGGTATTGGACTGGGACCTGGGTGATCTGGATTTAATTTCTGACTGTCATAGATTCCACGTGTGATCTTGGATGAGTTGCTTATGACCAGTCACCGGCGCAGAAAGTGGCAGTCTCTGCTCAGAAGAGCTCATGATCTCTTACTATGGGACTGTGCAGTGTCCAGTAAAATGGAGCCTACGAAAAACTCGTCAGTGGTTGGGTTGGTGGTGTGCAGAAAACACTGCCTGTCATGCTGTTCAATATTGTCTCATCATTTCCTTATACTCCCCCGTCCGCCTGTATCCATCTGTTGTCCCTTGTCTTATATTTAGTCTGTAAGCATCTTGGGGCTTTTTGTTTTGCATGTACAGCGCCTAGCACGATGGTCTTTGACCAGGGGCTCCTAAGAGCTGTGGTAATACAGATTAATAATCTCATTTGAGTAAGTGCTTCCATAACACAATTAAGGCAGGACCTATCTTTGTACTTACATGAGCATTGTATCTGTGGGCCTTGAAACCATGAATGGGTATTATCCTCACCGACCACACTCTGTGAGATAGGGAAGCCAGTATCCCCATTTTACAGAAGGTCAAAGGGCGGCACGTAATAGTTCAAGTGACTTGCCAAAGATCAGGCTTAGTGAGGAATTGAACTGAGGTCCTTTGCAGCCTATTCTAGTGCCCTGCCCACTAGACCATCTTTTCTACCTTTAATGCTGAGACTATCCTTCA